TAAAAAAAAACAAAAATAGCTAAAAATTTTTCAAATGTACTGAACAGTAAGTGATTCCCTGCAGATACGGACCTTGTGCCTTTCTTGAGATGTCTCAAAAGAGCCAGATGTATTATCACCAAGAGCGTATATTCAAGATATAAACTTATTTGGCCCACTGGGATAAAAACAAACAAAAAAACAATGTAAACAAACCAAGTGACAGCTTGTTCTTATGGGGCATTAGAACATTAAAAAATAGTGCAAGAAAATGATAGACATCCTTATTCCTACATTAATACTTAAAAGACAGGACATTTGTTCACATGGCTCATCGAGTGCTGTCTAATGAGCACTAAGCCATTGTAACTGTGCCTGTTGTTAATGATCTGCGTTAGTAATTGTGCTTTTTTCCCCTGCTCTTTGTTTGGTTTGTTGGTGCTTTTTGTTTTTATTTATTTTTTTGTTTTTACAGGTTCTTCAAAAGGATACCATCAGTACCCTAACGGATCCAATGATTGATAATGAAACAAGCCAACTGATATTGAGGAATGACACCAACCTTGGAAAGGTCATCCAGCAAAGCAAAATGACTTTTAGTGAAATTGTTTAAACAGTAGTTTCATTTGACTGATATCAAACTGTATTTTTTTTTTCATATCTTTACCATTGGGGTGTGTGTATACATACACAGTCAAGATAGCATTTACATTCCCTCAGTGCCAGTTTGTACAAATAGTGTGTGAATCTTTCTGGTACAACTGGTTGACCATTAAAAATGAAAAACAAATTTTTACTATATACAGTATATATACTTCTGCTTCCGTTCTTGGACGGGTTTCTCTTCAAAATAGATTTTATTTAATCAAAATTAGATGTATTTTGTATATTAAAATGTATTGAAATAAAAAATAATGCTCTCTTCTTAAAGATTTATGCTTTGTTTATATTCAATCCATTGTTAGCTTTTTTGTTGTCCCTCTCACTTTTAGAAGAGAAGAGAACATTTTGGACAGACTCTTGGATTTTTTCTTGGAATTTTCCACTTTTAGATATTTCACATGAATAGAATAGAGTAGAATAGAATAGAATAGAATAGAGTAGAATAGAATAGAATAGAAGTCATAAAAATAGCTGTTCCAGACCTAACTGAAGATGGATGCTAAGAACCCACATGGTAATTCGATTATCTGTCACTGAAAAAAGAAAAACTCAAGAGGTGGGTAGTAACTAGTTACATTTACTCGAGTAACTTTAAGTCGTGTTTGACATTTACTTGAGTTAAAATATGATAAAGTATCACTACTCTTACTTGTGTACGGCTACTCCATCTATTGTGAATAACTTAATGAAAAAAAGCTTGTTTTAAATAAAAATGCACCATTGAGAGACACAGTTTCCTTCATTTTGTACTCAAGGATGATTGGTTAAATGTTTCCAACTACTGAGTCTGCCATATCATTTGGAAGTTGAGTGAAAATGTTATAGTATTTACTAGTAGTAATTACTGTATGTTATATGCTTATAACTTCCTTTCCTTTGAAACGCCAGGACTTGCATATTATTTAATATTCTGTTAAATTTTACATAATTTTGTAAAATATTAAGTCAGTCGTTATGATCATGGGTACTAAATTGATAAATTACTCAGTATTTTATTAGCTTTTACAAATAACACTTTTTACTCATAGTTGCTCAAATAAAACTCTTGGTACTCTACCCACCTCTGCTAAAATATCCTCCTTTCCCTGAACAGAATGGATGGGATTAGTTCCAGATTAATAATGTTAAGAAGGGTTTCTCAATCCTGGTCCTCAAGTACCACTGCCCAGCGTGTTTACGTTTTCTGTCCTCTCCAACAAACCTGATTTATTTAAAAGACTGATTAACATGCAGTGCTTGATGGCTGTTGAGAATGTTATGCAATAGTTTGAGTCAATTGTGCTACTATAGAGAGACATCTGAAACATGCAGGGCATGGTACTTGAGGAGCAGGTTTGAGAACTACTCTGATGTAAAGAACTAAACCTGAGGTATACACATTATCAGTCTGCCTTGTCAGGTTAGTTAAACTTTGCTTATAATGGATTTGATAATAAGAAGTGTGCAAAACGTTACACATTGTATCACTTTCTTTTATCCTGAAAATTGTCTATTGAACTTGTCTTGATTCAAGAGTGGATACACTTCTCTATGAACACTTTAGATTTTTTGCTAGTAGAATCAAATTTTAGGGTGGAAAGTAGGATGTGACATGTTTATATTTTGCAAAGAGTTTTAGAAGTTGTAATAATTTAGGTAAGATTTAACAATATGTTTTCATCCATTTATTTTCTAAACCTGCATGAGCCTGTTTAGATTTCTTCAAACGGAACATTGTCAGATCAAGGGAACAATCAAATTACTTTAAATATTCGAAAACAATGTATGATTTTAACTTGTCAATATTAAGCAAGTAGCTGTAGCCTTAATAATAGCTGTATATATAATGAGGAAAGTAAAATAATAAAAGATTGAGATTTTTGGAAGAATGTTTCTTTCCTGCCTCGGTATATTATGTGGAGTCTAAACAGAGTTATGTGTGGGCATTTTATTTTCACTTTCAGTGACTCCACATCAATATCAACCTTGGGTGTGGTTTAGCAGTTGTTATTGGTTCATGCCTGGGTTTCAATTATGTTTGCGCTTCACTTTGATGTTCTTTTTTTATTTTCAAAACAGGGACGTGGCTAGACCTATTTTAGGGTGGCTGAAGTCATCCCTTCGTTGGTATTAGCCACCCCATAATTATTTTGCGATTTTTATTGTTATTTTTTTATTTATTGATTTTTTTTCCATATAACCCCAAACAATTGCAGTAAAGCACTGAAAACGAGCCACCAAGAAGGCAAGTTAATCTGAAGATAAGTTCCTGTTAGTTTATTTACAAACACAATTATTTATACAATTATTAATATCGTTAGGATATTCATTTCCTTCATTGGCTCCGCGTCCAGCGTCACGTCACGTGGTACACGGCCATCAACTGGACCATAGCAGCTGTGCAGTGCAGCAACAGCGCGCCCTTTGAATCTCCACACAGTCATCGAGCTTGATTAGGAAAGTTATGGTTGCGTGCAGATACATACGGTGAGTTTGCCATTTGATGTCAGCGGTTTACATTTTCTTCACTTTACCTGGAGTGAGGAAAGAGACAATATAGGCCTAATAGCTTGTCTGATTCAGTAGGAATTACGTTACCATGGTGAACAAAGTCAGTGGTGTGGGAAAACACGATGTTGTTGTAGCCTACTAGCATCATTATAATAGTTTTGTCACAGGAGCAGTGATGGGCAGTAGCGCCGCTACATGTAGCGAAGCTATTAGTTTAACTACATTTTCAAGTAGCTTGACCGTAGCGTCGCTGCTTTATTTATCAAGTAACTTTCCTGTAGCGACGTTATTGTTTTGATCAAGTAGCGACGTAGCGTCCACAAACGCTACAAAATCCAGGGCAAAACTAAGAAATGAAACCAGGTTTTCTATTTCTAAACAACAATCAGCCACAAAACTACTGTAAATAGCAGTTTCAGCTGACGCTTTATAAGTGGCGTAGTAGCACAGGCACACTCCGTAGGGTTAAACAAGCGCACCTTTTCCGAGGCTGTCGTTCTATTGGCTGGAAAGGTTGCTAGGCAACGATCCAACTGCAGTCTGAGAGAGCAAAACAAATCCGCAAGCAGAGCGTAACTGAGACCCGTGCAGAGCGGAGATGGAGGCAAGCGAGAGGAAAAAATATCTGTGATAATATAGAAAATATCTGTTTAAATCTGAGAGAAGAAACAAAGATTTTTGAGAGAAGAGAAAATATTTGAGAGAGAGCGCATGTTTTGAGTGTGAGCATTATAAGTTTTGAGTGCAAGAAGATGAAATTCTTTTCTCTAATTGAAGTTATGTGCTCTTGCATTATGGCAGGATAATTCTCCCATATCTATGTGCCACCAGTCTGATAGGGCGACACTGTGTGATATGGTAGTGCTTCCTTGGGTTGACTATAGTTCTAAGTTGTACGTTTCATATACTGTTGATTTTGTGTTTTCATTAATACATTGTACTTAAAAATACTTCCTTTATTTGCATTAAAACTTTGTCAGACTGATGTGAAAAAGTCTCAAGGATATCCTTCTTTGCAATGATGCTATTGCCTATTGCCTACTGTCCATTTATGCAACTTGTATTTTGTGGTTAAACTTTAGATTAAGCAGAAATCTATCAAAGATAATGCTGCATTTATTGTTAAGTTCCTCACATATATGTGTTTCTCTCTGTGCCAGGTGTAGAGAAAGACATGCCAAAGTCCAGGTCACACACACACACCAAGCACACACACAGAAACAGGGTTATTGCAAAGCAGACAGGGGTTCCTGACAGGTTGTGGGTGCAGGGGAGATGGGGAAAGATGAATGGCCAGGTTAAGGGTTTATGAAGATGTTGGGAGTCTGTTGGTTAGACAACTGTCTTCTGTAGAAGGTTTCCATTATGATGAGTGGCGAACCACTTGCCTTCTTCCATTTATGCAGTAATGCATGGCACCTACCATTTACTCTTTGTAATTTAGCACATTTTAACTGGTGTAGTTTAGTTGGTGAAGTAGCATTAGTGAGGGAAGTGTTTCCCAGGTATGTTGCTCTTAAAATAATGAATTTATAGACAGCGCCTTAGAAAGTGCACTGAAAAAATTTCGGCGCGCGCTATGCGCGCGCAACATCTTACCTAGGGGCTAAGCCACCCATGTCTCTCAAACCTAGTGACGGCCCTGTTTCAAAAGGCATCCTATTCCATTAAAATTAAATAGTAAAGCTAAATTTTATTTCATATATTGTAAAAATGACACAAATTAAATTATACAAACATTATTATAAACACAATCACACTGGAAACCAAAAATTATCAAGCCGTGGGAACAATTTTAATTTTTGTCAGGAATTCTGCAGTGATTATGAAGCTTGCAAAGTATTCCAGGAAACGAATAGTTGGGGCTTTCCCTATTTAGGCGAGTGTTCCTCTTAGTATTTAAAGAAGAGCAATTAAATGAATGTGCACTCAAGACAAGAGCCTCTTTGGAAGCCAGGCTACGTGGAGAGGTAACAAAATTCAATTTTTAATCCTATCCTACAGAACTAGATCCTAAGAGTTCATGCTTTGTTTAGCAGAGCTTGATATTATTATCTTGACACTTATAAGTTACTACTATGTATTTCTTGTTTAAAGAACAGTTTAAAATGAATCCACTCTAGTAAGATATTAAAAAATAAATTTTAATGAGACCACTTGTGTTATTTCTCTTCAAAAGGTTTCAGAACAGCAATACAATTATAATATTTTACATAAGAGAATCATAACCTTAGAGAATGTCTTCCATCCGTTCAACCATGCATCAGTTAAGGCTTTAAGAAACAAGAAACAGCAGCCAATTTGGGTGTGTTGTGATTGTGACTATTTATGTGGGGGGATCTACAATGAAAGGCATGCACAAAACACATTAAGGGATGAATAAAGGCTTAATTACGCTTGATGCATGAAAATAAAGTCTACAAATTTTACACTAATTGCCTTTTTTCCGATTGCACCTAATACTGGCTGATTCTAGGAGGGCATGTACGCATAGACTGCAAGCTTACAACACAACACCTCGTTTAGAATTAAAGAAACAAAAGAAACAACTTCAAAGGACAAGTCTTTGAAGGCAAAATCTGCCTTCAAAGACTTGTCCTTAAACATTAAAACATGAATACAATAACATTAGTATGGCAACTTTTTGGCATATTTAGTATTTACTAAATATACTTTTTTGTTTTTTTAGATTAAGTCTTTAAGCAGTTTATTTAGACTCTCTTTTTTATTTACCAACAATATTGTACAACTACACATTCTTAAGCCATATCATGACAAATACAAAGGTTGCATGGTTATAAAATCTTGAGTCATTTAGTAGGGCTGTGCAAGCAAATTTAAATTCTTAGGTAATGAAAATGATTTGCACTGTCAGGAGCTAGCAAGAAACATTTTTCTAAAGAAATATACCGGTCTTTTTATGTTTCTGTCTTGCATAGATTGGAGTCTAACTTCATACCTACTTACCAGAACAGTTCTGTGAATCTTTACTGAAGCTTAAATTTGTAATAACAGCTATCTCCTGATATCCTTAACGCTACTCAAGTCGTTATATATTACAGTCAGAGAAGGTAGTAAAACATTTAAAGTCCTGTATGGCGCTTTTTAAATCAGCCACAATAATCTCATAAGATGAGGCACTACAGTTGTCAGGATTAATTTGGGAAAAGTTATTGGTTGATCGGAAAGAATAAATATGAACATAAGTAGTTTAAATAGATGTTTCCCTATGGAATAAACTTTAACTCTGATCTTATTTAAGCCATAGATTCTATTTTTTATGTAAGATTAACTACCAAACAGGTGTAAATGAAAAACATTTTATTGCAGTTTTTAATAATATTATCTGAATGGGTTTTTGAATGGTACATGAAGATTTATCAAATGATTTTCCTTGCATCTTTAAATGAAACTAGCTTTATTTTAAAATTGACACTATTCTAAGTAATTATGTTTTTTTGAACATACCAAATATCTTTGAAAAGATTATCCTCTCCTCTGCAGTGAGGATGGCTTTACCAAAGTTGGCACAGTTTGCTGTTATCCTTTCTGTTATCTGCTACACTCTGGACAAGTCAGGATTCAACTCGTTGGTCTTCACCTTCTTTGAGGTCAGCATGAAAACAAAATACACATGAAACAGGTTTTAGGGCGTACTATGAAAATTTAATATATAATATAAACCTCTGATGTCTCTTTTTGAAACCAAAAATAGTCCCTTTGTCTGTGTTTGACTTTGGTGGATTTTTACAGGAATCAGTTGATTCTAAATCACCCAGCATTTATGCCAGAGAAAAAAGAGAGAGTGAGTCCCTCCAAAACACAATGACCGTCATTCATCTGGAAACAATGACTGACTGTATTAAAGCATCTTTCCATCTGTTTTCTCCCTAGCCGCAATAAACTCCACTGAATATGAGCTTCATGTCATTATGAGCTTTTCTGACTCAGCAATTCTTCAAATGATCACTGATTTCAATGTTTCCATATCAATTGACAGTAACAGTGAAATTTCCAGCCTTGTCGTAACAACAGGTATCGTATTGTTTTATTTAGAGAAGGTCAAGCATTACAATAGAATTAGCATTGTTAGAAGTTAGAAAAATTTTCCTGAGTAATTTTTCTATTTTAAGGAGTATCTTTCCTGCACAATTTTGGTTAGTTGAGTAATATTAATATAAGTTATTAACAATCTGTTTATCTTAGATGAAGATAAACAGGTTTGTTATCACCTAAGTTACATCAGACATCCATTTGTTTTTGTTTTTGTTATAATGGTACATCTGCCTCTTGTTTGTTTTATATTGCCTGACTCACTTAATGTAGAGTTTTAACTGAGCATTTATCAGTCCGCTCTAAGAAATAACATATATATATACACTGTGCTTTTCCACAGTGTGCTCACTAGAAATAAGTGGGTATCAGTGCAAGTGTGAGGAGAACTTTGCCTGGTCTTATAACAACTGCCTTACCTATGGAGCATGTGATGCTATCACTGGTGACACATGCGGCTGCATTGATTACCTTCCAGCTGATGGTCAGTTCTGTCAGTTCAACGGCAGCCAAATAGGTGAGTTTGGAATCTTTTCAAAACACAGATCCCCACAGCCTGCTCTGCATACCTAGAACCAGAACTAAACCTGGAGAAGCAGCATTTAGTTCCTTTGCTCCACTTATCTGGAACAAACTTCCAGAAAACTGTAAAAGTGCAGAAAGCCCGAGTTCCTTTAAATCAAGACTAAAAACACATTTGTTTAGGATTGCCTTCGACTGTTCTAGTTAAACAGTTCAACCAAAACATATTTTCTTTAGTCCAACTGTTTCTAATATTCTTTTTTGTTTCTGCATTTTGTATTTTATTTTTTTTTCCTACTTGCTTTGATTCTGTTTTATCTTCCTGTATTTTAATCATGTAAAGCACTTTGCATTGTCTTTGTACTGAATTGTGCTATACAAATAAATTTGCCTTGCCTTGCCTTACTGGATGCCAGGAAAGTATATCCTTTACTCAAAAAGATGCAAAGAAGGAAACTATTGGTTTAATGTTTTTTTTTGGCTTTATGTTCTGGTTAAATTCCAGATTATTGAACGAGATAAGAGTGGTTTTATGACTCGCTTACTATAGATCCCGATGTCTATAATTTAAAAAAAATGCAAAAGCCTCATTGATTTGTAAGCTTTTCAGATGTGAAGCATAAAGGTAGATGCATCATATCAAAACACCTAATTGTAAAGTCCTGTGTGAGCAAATAAATAAATTTTAGTTTTTCTAACTAAGCTAAAACTGTAAAAGGCATATACAGCAAAGCCTTCTGAACCTGCAAAGATATTTGGTATAGGGGAATAATGGGTGAAGGATTTAATGTCAGTGACAGAAAAACAATTTATTTGATGCTTATTGCTGTGAATATAAATTTAGGGACCTTGAATTTGACATGCCTGGATATGGTTGTTTTTCAAATCAGCTGTATTTTTTGGGTTTGATAATCAGTATTTGTTGTTTCATTTCAATTACACCTCTACCTTCTAACTGTGTAGTAATCGGTGTTGTATACCTTAAAAAAAATGGTTCCTGATCATTTTAGTTGCTTTATCAAAGTAAGATGCCTTAGGCTGTCCTAAAACTGCTGCTTGACTTGCTTTAGCTGGAAACGAGGATGAAAGCATGTTAAGGCTTGCATGGGAAACAAAAAGGTGTTGCACACAAACATGTTCAACTTGTTTTTCAGAAACCAGGAAGTTTAAAAGGCTTGCTTTTATTTGACTTCAATGAGATGTCAGGTTTTTATTTGCAGTTAAGTGAGGTCAACAAAATGTACATAAAGTAATTATATTAAATAACTTGTTGTTGTTGGCTTCAATGTAGAAGAAGCAATGATCGAAAATGATCTTACCTATTGCATATTTTCACTAAGGTCTGTCTCTACTAATGACTGTGTGTTACTTTTTTACAGTTATTACCAAAACAGCACCGTCATAATGATATGCAAACATACTATTTTGCTATTCTTCAACCCTAGCCCCTTACCAACACTGCCCTGGATGTTAACATGATAGTTCAGATATTTATACTTGGCTTCCCAGAAGAGGTCATGTGGAGTTTGTGTGTTGCCTGCAGGAGATAATTTGTTTCAACAACATGTTGTCAGGTTTGGTGGATGTTTGTTAAGGACCCAGATGCACAGACAGAGACGCACCGATGATTTTTTCTTGCAGATTTAATGAAGATTTTGATAGTACAGAAGCAAATTATTCAGAAACTAGAGGCAAGGAACTAGAGTCCTGCAACAGGTCGGGTACCCGCGGGTCCCCGACGGGTCACCCGCTAAAATGCTCTTTTGCGGGTGAAAAATACATAAATAAATATAAATGGGTCGGGGGTCGGGCGGATATTTTTTTAGTGCGGGCGGGTAGTTGGTGATTTTTGTTTTATGCGTGCGTGTTGTTATAGACATCAGAAATGTTATATTAATCAGGCACTGGGGTCACCCTTGTTGTAGCTTAAAGCCCTGCCGGCAGTGTGGGTTTCCCTCCAAAAAGGCCACAGTCAGTGCATACACGTCTGCTGCAGTGTTAATGGCGCTGTTCTGCAGCGCAGCATACTATAGCCTATTACTTGATGTGTTAACGAGTCGGGTTGCGGGTTAAATATCAACGGGTCGGGTTCGAATTTGAATTGAAGATATCCGTGGGTGACGGGTCGGGTTCGGTTGTCATCCTAACGGGTTCGGGCGGGTGCGGGTTGGTAAAACTCGACCCGTGCAGGACTCTACAAGGAACTCAGGAATCAAAAACTAGAAAACAACTAGGAACTAAGATGATCAGGCCAACAATATATATATATGTATATATATATATATGTACTATTTAATGAAGTGCCAGTTGGGGATCTGTGAGTCGTCTGTTTCTCAAACTAGAGACTCTAATGTACTTATCTTCTTGCTCAGTTGCGCAACGCGGCTTCCTACTTCTTTTTCTACTCTGGTTAGAGCCTGTTTGTGCTGTCCTCTGAAGGGAGTAGTACACACCGTTGAAGGAAATCTTAAATTTCTTAGCAATTTCTTGCATGGAATAGCCTTAATTTCTAAGAACAAGAATAGACTGTCGAGTTTCAGATGAAAGTTCTCTTTTTCTGGCCATTTCGAGCATTTAATTGACCCCACAAATGTGATGCTCCAGAAACTCAATCTGCTCAAAGGAAGGTCAGTTTTGTAGCTTCTGTAACGAGCTAAAATGTTTTCAGATGTGTGAACATTATTGCACAAGGGTTTTCTAATCATCAATCAGCCTTCTGAGCCAATGAGCAAACACATTGTACCATTAGAACACTGGAGTGATATTTGCTGGAAATGGACCTCTATACACCTATGTAGATATTGCACCAAAAACCAGACATTTGCAGCTAGAATAATCATTTACCACATTAGCAACGCATAGAGTGTATTTCTTTAAAGTTAAGACTAGTTTAAAGTTATCTTCATTTGAAAAGTACAGTGCTTTTCCTTCAAAAATAAGTAGATTTCAATGTGACCACAAATTTTTGAACGGTAGAGTATATATATATATATATATATATATATATATATATATATATATATATATATATATATATATATATACTCTACCGTTCAAAAATCTACATCTTTCTGCTAATTGTTTATAGCATTTAAATATCTACCCCATATTATTTGACATAGATGCTCCTATTTATTTTTTGAAATTAAAAAGTTAAATGTTAAAACAGCCCCCATCCCTGGGATAGTGACAGCAGGTCATGTATCCATTCACTTTCACAAATCAACTTTCGGTTATTGTGTTAATATGCAGATTGTTGTCTTAGAATTTGTATTATATATAAAACGTCACTACTAAATTGCCTCCTTTGACTCTGTCAAAGGTAAATATGCGTACACGGTGAAGCTGGTGTCTATCTTCAGCAGTCGATCCCAAATTGAATCAATGAACTCAATAAAGATTTTTCACTTATTACTGTTTAGGACAAATTAAATTGACCAATATTATACAGTATATTAAGATAATCATCAATAAGATTTTATTCATTTTATTTATATGGTACCAATTCACAACATATGTCATATGTCAAGGCACTTTACAGTTCACCAAATCATCCAGTCAAATTGATTCAGAGTTTTCTATCTAAGGAAAACCAGTTAATTGCATCGACTCATTTACTCCCTCACACTAAGCATGCTTGTAGTTATAGTGGAGAGGAAAAACTCCCTTTTAACAGGAAGAAACCTCCAGCAGAACCAGGCTCAGTGTGAGCGGCCATCTGCCAAGGCCGACTGGGGTTTTCTTCTGTACTATCAACATCTTCATTAAATCTGCAAGAAAAAATCATTGGTGCATCTCCGTCTCTGCATCTGGGTCCTTAACAACCTATCTACGTACATCACATTATATTCTTAAACATATGGGTTTCAGCTATCAAGACAAATAATATATTTTGTGTATTTTATTTAGTTATAATTGAGAATGCATCAGGACCAACTAAGTAAAGCCGGGCATACACTGTACGATTTATTGCCCTTTTCGGGCTGATTCTCTAGTTATGTGAGAACTTTTCAATCGGGTCGAGTTTCAGCCTCATCGTGCGTCCTGCGTCGTGTAGTATGCAGGGGGTAACGAGGGGCGATTAACCTCTAATGACCACCTCCCGATCAGGACTCCTGCTCGTAAACAGTTTGCTATCTCAGATTGTCATTTTCCATGACAATCTGAATTGAATATAGAACATTGTTTATGTGTCAAATTTTTACTTTCACTGAATTCTCTGAGAGAAAAAGTTATTGTATTTTTTTTTTATTCATTCATACAATCATTGAGAGCAACCAAAGTTTGCAAGCAAGTAAAGCATTTTTGGGAGCTCATTCTCATAGCCGTTCCATGTGGTCATTCAATTGTCTGGAATGATTTCTCGGTGATAAACAAAAATCCACAAACAGGAACAACAGGTTTGCAATCATATTTCTGACTGGAGCAGAGAAGAAATTTGCATGCAAGCAAAAGGAGAAATGTGGGAGGAGAAAATATATATATGAGCAAGAATAATTAAATCTGGGTAGAGAAACAAATTGGATGGAGAAAATAGAAGATTAGATTAGATGAGCTTTATTGATCTCACAGCGGAGAAATTCACTGGTCACATATTGGCATAGTAATTAACTAAGTTGCAAACAAGGAGGATAAAGGTGTATTAAGAATAAACAATATATATACAGTATATCCAGGTATATACAGTATATCAAGATAAATAAGGATTAAGGTGCAAGTGTACATGTATCACACACAATGAAAAACAAAATAAAAATAAGAAATGAAAAAATTTAAAATACAAGGGAGTAACACAGAGATTTGAGGTGTCAAATGTACAATCAGGATGGCTTATATACAGGTGGATTGACTTTTACATTAAAGTGTAGTAGGTAAGGAACAACGGTGAGGTAGTGGTATGACTATTATATTCACATTTATTGCACAGTCAGCATATTGCACAGAATATTGCACAGTCAATAAATAAATAAAAACTATAATATAGTTGCACAGTGGTTTTTACAGGAGTTATTGTGGTTATAGTGCATTATTATAGAGTCTGGTGGCAGCAGGAATGAATGACCTGCGGTAACGCTCCTTCTTACAGACAGGGTGTCTACAGTAAGTCTCTGACTAAAGGAGCTGCTCAGCTCCTCTACAGTCTGGTGAGAGGTGTTGTCCATGATGGATGTGAGTTTGGACAGCATCCTCCTCTCAGCCACTTCCTCCACCAAGTCCAGAGGGCAGCCCAGGACAGAAGTGGCCTTCCTCACCAGCTTATTCAGTCTCTTTCTGTCCTGCTCTGAGCTGCCAGGGGCCCAGCACATGACAGCGTAGAGGAGGGCTGAGGCCACCACAGAGTCATAAAAGGTTTAAAGCAGGGGCCTGCTGACTCCAAAGGCCCTCAGCCTCCTCAGGAGGTGGAGGCGGCTCTGGCTCTTTTTATACAGAGCGTCAGTGTTGTGAGTCCAGTCCAGTTTATTGTTGACTTGAACTCCCAGGTATTTGAAACTCTCCACAGTTTCTATGTCCTGTCCCTGGATGTTCACGGGTTGGTGGGGTGATGGTCTTCTCCTGAAGTCGATCACCATCTCCTTGGTCTTACTGGTGTTCTCATATTTTTTTAGGCACTAGTGGGCTTTTGTTATTTTAGTATAGTACACTGTAGTAGGCAAATTGTCAATGGGACTGGAGAGTGGGGAACCGTTCCTCGTGTGGTGATTCAGGCTCAACCCACCCGGAGGAGGCCCAGGGGATGACCCAAGACACGCTGGAAGAGCTATCTCTCTCTGCTGGTTTGGAGCACCTCAGGCTTTCCCCTGCAGTGCTGGAAGAGGTGTCTTCCAGCACCAGTACCCAATTAAGCAGAAGACAACAAGTATGAGTGCAAGATTGGGAAGACATGTGGCAAAGGTCACCAGGATTCAAATCTGTGCCAGCTGCATTAAGGACCAAGGTGTCCGTTGATGGTACGCACATTTAACCCTTGTGCCACTGCCACACCCAGGAGAGAGTATATTTGAGAGAAAGTAGAAGTTTTGAATGCAAGCATCACAAGTTTTAAATAAGGCACTTTTATTAAATACAAAAATTGTGTTCTTGTAGCAGAATATGTCTTCCTTATGTATACATTTATGTTGTAATAACAACAACAGAAGTAACTTTTAGGTTCTTCCCATTGTTAGTTTAATAACTCTAAACTGTGGCAACAATCCAAAGTTACCAAATAATTTATGACAACTTTGGACTCTTTCGAGTAATAATATTGTAATAGTAATTAACTAATTTCAAAGGAAAACACTTAGAGGCACCCAGAAAATCTGAGGAACAGTGAAAACAACTATTCCAACCATGAAGCCACTAACTTATGGTATGAAATTTTGTTTGCATTTCATGTAGTCAATGTATGACCCAATGTATATTGATCAGTATTTACTCACTATTTCAGTGTACACTGCACTGATTTTATTTAATAGTTGTTTGGGTTCAAGGTTAAATGCTTTATTATTATACTGAAAGCTTTAAAGAGTGGCATTAACGGTCGCTAAACTTCATTTTTTTTCACATTTGGCATGCAAACAATGAGATTGTTTCTCTCATCCTCCAGTGGAACGTGCTGTGCTGAATAACTTGTTCATACCAGTGGCCAGTGTCCCACCTAATTTATTGGACTCAATCATAGCAGTTCTGAAAAATGAAAGCTTCCCTGTAACCATATTATCTTTAGAAGTAAGAGAAATGAATCTAAGCACAGGTAAGTTAAAGACTGTTGTTCCTTAAATGATTATATACTGGTAAAGATTTACTGAACAATTTAATTGAGTAAAAAATATGTTTTAGTCTGTGATCCAAGCTCAGCTCACGGCCTGCGATGTAAATGTGAGGATGATTTTTCTTGGCCATGTGAGATGTGCACGAGCAACACTACATGCAGTAGTGACAGCAGTTCAAGCTGTAACTGCATATATAAATCTTCATTTTCTGAGCAGTACTGTCAGCCAATCACAGGTAATCATACCTTTTTTACAGATTTTTTTTCAAGTGATTTATGTAAGGTTTCTTAAACTAAATTTAAATTCCTCCTTTGTTCCACAGAGATCCATCAGTGCCCTGGTATGGAGTTGATCTCGTTTTGTTATATATTTTGATATCAGGGTTTTCCATATACAGGTGCTGGTCATAAAATTAGAATATCATGAAAAAGTAGATTGATTTCAGTAATTCCATTTAAAAAGTGAAACTTGTATATTATATTCATACATTACATACAAACTCATATATTTCAGATGTTTATTTTGTTTAATTTTGATGATTACAAATGACAACAAATGAAAATCTCAAATTCATCATATCAGAAAATTAGAATATTACTGAAGACCAATAAAAACAAAGGATTTATAGAAATGTTGGCCAACTGAAAAGTATGAACATGAAAAGTATGAGCATGTACAGCACTCAGTATTTAGTTGGGCCTCCTTTGGCCTGTATTACTGCAGCAATGCGGCGTGGCATGGAGTCGATCAGTCTGTGGCACTGCTCAGGTGTTATGATAGCCCAGGTTGCTCTAATAGTGGCTTTTAGCTCTTCTGAATTGTTGGGTCTGGTGTATTGCATCTTCTTCTTCACAATACCCCATAGATTTTCTATGGGGTTAAGGTCAGGAGAGTTTGCTGGCCAATTAAGAACAGGGATACCATGGTCCTTCAACCAGGTACTGGTAGCTTTGGCACTGTGTGCAGGTGCCAAGTCCTGTTGGAAAATGAAATCTGCATCTCCAAAAAGTTGGTCAGCTGCAGGAAGCATGAAGTGCTCTAAAACTTCCTGGTATGTGGCTGCGTTGACCCTGGACCTCAGAAAACACAATGGACCAACACCAGCAGATGACATGGCACCCCAAACCATCACTGACTGTGGAAACTTTACACTGGACTTCAAGCAACGTGGATGAAGTGCCTCTCTTCTTTTCCTCCAGACTCTGGGACCTTGATTTCCAAAGGAAATGCAAAATTTACTTTCATCAGAGAACATGACTTTGGACCACTCACCAGCAGTCCAGTCCTGTTTCTCTTTAGCCCAGGCAAGACGCTTCTGACGCTGTCTGTGGTTCAAGAGTGGCTTGACACAAGGAATGCGACAGCAGAAACCCATGTCTTTCATACGTCTGTGTGTGGTGGTTCTTGAAGCACTCACTCCAGCTGCAGTCCACTCTTTGTGAATCTCCCCCACATTTTTGAATGGGTTTTGTTTCACAATCCTCTCCAGGGTGCGGTTATCTCTCTTGCTTGTACACTTTTTTCCACCACATCTTTTCCTTCCCTTCGCCTCTCTATTAATGTGCTTGGACACTGAGCTCTGTGAACAGCCAGCCTCTTTAGCGATGACCTTTTGTGTCTTGCCCTCCTTGTGCAAGGTGTCGATGGTCGTCTTTTGGACAACTGTCAAGTCAGCAGTCTTCCCCATGATTGTGTAGCCTATAGAACTAGACTGAAAGACCATTTAAAGGCTTTTGCAGGTGGTTTGAGTTAATTAGCTGATTAGAGTGTGGCACCAGGGGCCATCAATTTTGAACCTTTTCACAATATTCTAATTTTCTGATATGATGAATTTGAGATTTTCATTTGTTGTCATTTGTAATCATCAAAATTAAACAAAATAAACATCTGAAATATATGAGTTTGTATGTAATGTATGAATATAATATACAAGTTTCACTTTTTAAATGGAATTACTGAAATCAATCTACTTTTTCATGATATTCTAATTTTATGACCAGCACCTGTACATCTTAGTAACCATTCTCTCTTTCTTAATAGTGAGGTCAACCACAACACCGACACTCTCAATGCAAAACGTGACAACAGTAGCCACAACTGAACCCGTCACTGTAACTGAAAGCTTCACTATAAACATGCAGTTCAAAGAATCTTACAATGACCCTGACAGCGATCTTTACAAAAATGTTTCTGCCGCTGTAAGCCATTTTTGATGTTATTATTATAAATTGTAGATCAGTACAAATGCATACAGAATTTTATATTTAGATTTTTTTTTAACCATGATATTGTTTTTCATCAGGCTGAAATAAATTGTAAGGCTTTCGTGTCAACAGATTGCAAGGTCCAGAATCTGAAGTTTCGGTAGGTAATAATCTCTTACAGTATATGCTACTTCAGAACTATATTTTTCAAAAAGATTGAAGATGCTATTTAAATTTCTGGTAAGCAGTAAAGATGTGCTGATTCATAAAGATCATTAGCATTTACTGTTGACAGCTTTAAGGGAAAGATGTTGGTTATAATAAATGTGTGCGGCTATTTAGACCTACAAGATGACATTTCTCAAAGTTAAATGTAGACTTTGACAGCTTTTATTGTAATTTTGTTTACACGTAGTGTATATAGAGTGAAATTTCGTTTTGTACAGCTTTCATGACATTTCTATTTCTTAAAGTGCATTTCCTAAATGTAGCAGATGGAAAGTAAAAAAAAGTTAAAAAAGGGACAATGATCAGACTTAGACACATAAAAAAATTCAGAAATAAGTTAAACAAAACAATGAAAAGCTATACATGCAGTTCTTCAGGATGATGTAGGTTAATTTTATGGATTCACCAAACATAAATTCCTACATCTTTATTTTGGCTATATTAAAACATAACTTCTAGACTAAAAAAAAATAAATTTTCAATTATATTTTTTAGAATTAAATACAGACAATAGCTGGTTAATCTGAAATAGCCATAATATTATCAGCTCTTTAGATGGTGCGCACTATAAAAATATTGCTATTAACCTAATGTTGTTTAGACAGAAGCGTATTTTCCTTTAGGTATCAGCAATGAGCAATTCAAAAATGATCAGCATCAGGTTTATAAATAATAAATGAATCAAAGTCACCTAATTTTGTAGCAGAATACTAATTAAAATACAAATCTGTGTTCCAGGTCTGGAAGCACCGTCGCTGACTTTTCTCTCAGCAGTTCTTCTCAGGATGTGTCGAAAGTTCAATTAGCAAAAGATGAAATGTTAAATCAACTGGTAGAAAATTATCCTGTGGAGATTGTCAGTAAGTGAGCCTCAATAAATCTGAGCTATGTTTTAACTATTTCATTATTTTCTAATGAACAAATTAATTGTTATTAACCCATTTTTCATTCTCACAGGTCCTCAGAAATTAGATATTCCAGATCTAGTTTCTTCAGAGGAAATAATTGCTGGGGACTCTGTAACTCTGACATGTGGACCTCGTCCGACTAATCTCGGTTTAAACCTGAGGGTGGTGTGGACATTTGCTGGGACAGTCCTCCAAACAACCGAAGGCAGTGATGAGAGAACTTCAAAATACACAATCCCACAGTTTTTTCAAATCCACGATGGTATGAAGGCTTTAGGCCATCTGATAATATATTGTATCTGTGAAGATTCTCAGTCATCCAGGTTATGGATTTGGGGAAAAAAACTGAAGTTGACTCTGATATCATTTACTGGATGGGCCCTGGAGGTCAGTTGTGTGTGTGTGTGTGTGTGTTTGTGTGTGTGGGGGGGGTCATTGGATGAGAGGAAAAACATCTACTAGATAACTTCACATCCAGTTTTTTAAACTGAAGACGTGCACCGCATACCAACAGTCCGGTAGATTGTTTTTTACCTTTTGGGAATTTTGTCTGAACACAGTGGCAGCTTAAACTTTGCATAGCAACGATAACAACTGTCCTAAGGTTACACAAGGAATCAAAAGTCTGAGTTTGGGAGATTATGGTGACAATCATGATTTTGTCTTTTCAGGGAAATATGTATGTACGATGAGCCGTGAGGACGGTGCCATTTTCACACAGAGCAGAGATTTAAAGTCCAAACCAGCACCCATGATCAGTGTGAACCCAATCAGCGCAGTACTGAGATGTCCTGGTTCACAGACACTACAGTGCTCTGTTAAAGGAGACTACAAGGTTGAATTTAAGGACCTGGACCGTCCAAGTAAATATGAAACAACCATCCGGTAGTTTTCTCTGATCACATACACCATATAAAAGTTTAAACAAGCTCTAAACAAGTTTGTTTTCATTCTGTGGATAGGTCCTGGTAAAAATATCATATATGAGTATACAGCCTCTAGTGGATGTCAGCAAGAGGAAAAAGAGATAATCTGTCAAGTGACAGAAAAGCCAGAAACAAATAAAATAATCAAACTGGCACTAAGACAGAGTGGTGGGTATTTGTCCAGACAACACAAACCCAATACACAAAATGAAAGACACTATTTCATGTGCACAGCTAAGCTTTAATTATTCATACTGTACTCTTTGTTTAGTTATATATAAATAATTTGTATGCTAACATCAAAAAAATGAAAGAAAATCACGCCTCTTAAACAAATATATGGGGAGGATAAATAAAAGGATATTACATTTCAAGAAAAAAAATATTTTACAGATCTTTTTTCAGAAAAAATAGAATGTTTATAATGCTAACTCCCCTTTTTAATCAGACGAAACACTACTGATTATTTTTATTACAGCAATCGAAGCATTTTTGTACTTTATAATTAGCTTTTTGCATGTTTGCAGTGCTACTCTGACTTTAGGGAGTGTCTTGATTGTGATTAGAAACAAAGCTAAAAGTCACTTTAAGCTGTTTTTCTTTCTGTGTAGTTGATTGTAAAGGTGATGAAGTATTCGGTGACGGATTTCAAAATTTTGTTGCTGTTGCACCTTGCGAAGAGGGTATGGTGGGAAACAAAACAGCCGTTTGTAAGGCTGATGGCATGTATGGAGATTTCCAAGACAACTGTGTCCTAGAAGTTATACAGAACCTGCTTGATCAGTCAGAGGTAAGTCCATCTTATATTTCTGAAACCTCTGGATATCCTGTTTTAAGTGTACTAAATTTTAGGTCATACCACGCTCGCTCTGCCTAAGAATAGATTAAAATAGACAGCTTCTAAATACTAGTAGATGTTACTCTGCATTATTTGCTAGACTTTCACAATGCCATACAGCAGGTCACTAGCCTTCATATACATTCTGCTATAAGTAGTGAGGATTCCCATTGACTTCTATTGATTTTCAATCATTTTCAACCCTTTTTATGCCCTAACCCTAAAACTAACGCTAAACCTAACCATTACCAATACATACGTCATCCTAGCCCTAACTGACACCTTAGCCCTAAAACTAACCATTAGCAAAGTAGCTTGTGAGGACCGGCAAAATGTCCTCACTTTGCAACAACTGGTCCTCAATTTGATGGTGAAATTGTAAAAATGGTCCTCAGTCTGACAGGCTACAAAGGTATATATACACACACATACACACACACACACACACACACACACACACATCCTGACTGTAGATTAGTGGACCTAGACATTAGAATAATACAAAAAATAAATGTATTTCTCATTGATAGACTAACAAAAGCTCTGTGTTATTTAGATCCAAGCATTTGAATAACTTTTGATCAGAATTTTTTTTTTTCTTGAAATGTGGCAGACACTGGATAAGGCTACCATGCCAGGATTCTTGGAAAACCTCAAGGATGCAACTATCAACAACACAGAGACCATAACTGATTCTCCTGCTACCATTAATGCAATGGTTGACATCTTAGAAAATGTTGCTAATAGGAGTGGTTCTTATAGTATCACAATATATGAAGAATCCACAAAGGTCAGAATTATACATATATGGCCAGTGGCGGTTTTTAATATGAACCATATTGGCTGTTCCCAAGTTTGTTCAGGGCACTACTCATATAAAAGCCATCACTGTTTTTGTTTCACAATTGTTTAACTTTTTTTCTTTCTTTTTTTTTAAATGTGTACTTCAGTTATGAAAATGTTCTCTTTTTTTATTCCAGAACATCATGAAAAGTGCAGGAGTTCTCACCATTGACACTGCAAAGAAATCATGGGATACCCTGAACAATGAAACCAGTAATAAAGTAGATGCCAGCTCTTCATTTTTAAGCGCCTTTGAAGGAATAACAGCCAATGTTGTCAATAAACCATTGAATATAAATACAGATCATATTATTTTCACCAAAACTAATTTCACAAAAAATTTCAAGGAGGACTTTAATTCCTCAGTTGAGGTAGAGATAGCAGAAGCTGGGGTAGAGAAACAGTCAATTTCAGTGATAGTATTTGCATCAATGAACAACGTTCTTCCTGTGAGAGAAAAAACAAATACCTCATCCAGTGTTATCAATGGAAGAGTTGCACTTATCCAGCCAGAATCAAATCTTACGAACATATCAATAGCTTTTGATGTGCTTAATGATACCCTGGGAAACCCTAAATGTGTTTTTTGGGATTTTGACCTGTTTGATGGTCTTGGAGGCTGGAGTGAGGATGGCTGCTCATTTGTAATGAGTGAAAATGGATCAGTCACCTGCAACTGTGACCATACCACCTCGTTTTCTATTTTAATGTCACCCTCCGGCTATACTGATCCTCCGTTGAAATACATCACCTACATTGGAGTTGGAATCTCTATGGGTTCTTTAATTATATGCCTAATCATTGAAGGCATTGTATGGAGAAAAATAAGGACAAACAGAACATCGTACTTGCGTCATGTGTCTATTGTTAACATCGCCGTGTCTCTCCTGAATGCAGACATTTGGTTTATTATTGGAGCGGCCATTTCAAAGACAAAAAATGCACCAGCATGCACAGCAGCTACCTTTTTTATCCATTTTTTCTATCTAGCCATGTTCTTCTGGATGCTAGCCTCAGCCCTGCTGTTGCTCTACCTTACCGTCAATGTCTTTGATGGAGGGCTGTCTAAAGCATCTATGCTGGCCATTGGATTCTCTTTGGGATATGGTGCACCACTGATCATTGCAACAATAACTATAGCTGTAACTGCTCCCTCAAAGGAATACATCCAAAACAATGATGCCTGTTGGCTCAACTGGTACAATTCCAAAGCTCTTTTGGGGTTTGTGATCCCTGCACTTCTGATAGTGGCCGTGAATTTAATAATCCTGATTGTGGTGATATTCAAAATTGTGTGGAGAAGATATGGGGAGAATGCGGCCCAAGCAGGAGAAAAGCATGTCCTGCTGGTGATTGCCAGGAGTCTGGCTGTTCTAACACCATTTTTTGGAATAACTTGGGGTTTAGGAGTTGGAATCATGGCGAGTCCAAAAAACAGAGGGATCCACATTACATTTGCACTGTTCAATTCCCTGCAGGTAATATTTTGTATTCATAAGCAATAACTGAAATAAAGTGTTTTTATCTGAAACTTCACCTTTTTTCTTGGGTTAAGGGCTTGTTCATTCTGGTCTTTGGAACTCTACTGGACAGAATGGTGAGTTTGTCTTGGTTATCAGGCTTTTTGGCACACTCGGGAATCAGTTATCATCTCCATGTTATATGTGTAGGGTTTTTTTTTTCCGTTCCCTACATAATTCATCAATATCTTTTTATACTAACCAGCAGAAATAACTTTTCAGGTGTGGACAGAAATCCGGCAGTCTCATTCATCTACCTCCCAAATCCAAACAGGAGTAAGAACTTTGCTTCATATAAATTATTCATCCTTTTGACCAATATTTGGACTCGTAACATTATTTTTGTTTTCTTGTTTTAGACCTCGGGTGCTAGAAACATATCCAGTGGAGTGGGGGACTTTTTCAGGAGATTCCGAAGAGAAAGACGTATGTCTCACACACACACACAAAAAAAAACTGGAATCCTTTGATTTCTAAAATATACTTTTTATTATTACGCTGTTTACACTTGGATCTTTATTTGAGAGGTAGTCTTGTAGGAATAATGCAAAAAAAAAAATCTTACGATATTAACAGAATTTATTCCAAAGAATTATAACAAAATAATTGATAATAATAATTAATGACAATAAATTGAAACTTCAATTAGGGGAGGAGTTAAATCCATCTTTAGCTCTGTTGCTTAATAAATGGAAGGAAATCATATCAAAGCACGGTTTGACAAAGCAGAGTAGTCTATTAAGATGGACAGCCCATGATTCAGATTTTGAACCAAATATCATGGACAAAACATTCCAAGCACATATAGGAAACTTAATAAAATTGTAAATATAATAAGGCAACATTTGGCCTTAACAAAAAAAAAATGTCTTTACAAATTTTCAAGTAAGGCAGATTTTTGAGGAATTAATAAAATAGATAAACTTAGAGGGAAATGTATAGATCGAGACTTTCAGTTCAGATTCAGTTTCATATTAGTGATAATAAATAACATACATATATTATATATACCATTTATGTGAGTAACTCCCTGTAATTATTACACAATGTACCTTTATGGTTATTCCATGCATGAGTTGATGATCATCTACACCTAGTGAACTTCCATTATGTGGCGCTAGTTTGCAGATCTCTATTTCAGTGTTTATGTGTTGATCTTATTGTTGTATTTGCTAGTCTATTATCACTGAATCAAGAGTTTTAAATGTTCAATAGTCTGTATTCTGCACCCCAAACTGAATTACTTTTTGTTGCAGGTTCCAGAAGTGGCTACCAGTTGTCTTCTAATGGAGCCACGAACTTATCTTTCAACACTTAATACAATGCAAGAAAAGCATTGCCTGAAGACGCCCAATAAGTAGTCAGCCCTTTTTTTTTGTAAATATGTAATTATACAGTTTGATATGCTTTTTCAAAAGAGTTGAAACTAATAAGCTGAAGTAAGCACCTTTTCAAAGTGGCTCTATGTATGAAGTAATCTGTTTTCATATTACATTTATGGTACAAATATTTTTAAATATATAGCTGTTTTTAAACATTTACAGTAAATTGAAATACATATGACTTTGGACTTGAAATATTGAAGAATTTAGCATGATAAAACCATGAGGTCTGAAGCTCTATAAGTAAATCAAATAATTCCTGTGGGAAAATATTTAAACTCAAGATAAGTGAACTAAGCAGATCTAGAGTCTTACTGAAGGTTGTAAGCTTTAAGATCTCAATGTTATGAAAATTATGCTTTAACCTTTCTAAGAAAGCCCATCTGGGATAACCACAGTTTTTCAGGGCTGTTCTGACATGTCAATGTTTTCTCAATTGTTTCTGGGTCGAGACCGACAACGTGGTTTAAGCTGTTCAGTGTAGTGAAAAGTGCTCAGAGTGCTTAGAGAGACCAAGCAACCACTACACAGGAGGGCCAACTCCTCAAGACCAGACTCACCTACACATGAAGGCTAAAGGACACTTGTTTGAGGACAACAATGTTTATATCCTGGCCAAGAAAGACAAATGGTTTAAGAGAGGTTAAGGAAGCCATCCTTGTTAACCTGGAAAATCCTGCACTTAACAGAGTAGGTGGTCACAGAGATAACCTGGCCAGCCCTAGCCCACATTTACAAAGCACTTTTATGGACAATACCTGGAAGAATCACCTTTCACCTGTTCTCAACTGACTCACACTTCAAAGAGGCCTGTCACCGAGCCACTATGACAAGGGAGTTAATGACCCATCACATACCCATAATGACCATTGACATTCCCAACATATACTCCATTGCCCTTCCAGTAAGAGGGATCAGAACCAACTTTCAATGTTTGTGTTTACAGCCTTTATACCTTTAGCAAACATCCATGATGGAGGCATTAAGGCAAAAGAACAATGTATAATTAGCTTTTAATGTCTCAATGTTAAAAACACAGTTAAATACCTGAAACTGAAATTTGCACCTGTGTTCATCTTTATTCCTAAATGTGAAGAAGGGGTAAAAACATATAAAAATGTGTACTGCCTGTTAACGTGTAGTTGATGTGTCCTTAACATGCTCTCAGCATGTCTACTACTACTACTATGTGACCTATTAAAAGAAAACATGTTGTCAACACACAAACCACTTGCAAATCATGTTTTAGTCACATTGTCTGTGTCAGAAGTCACAACTTGGCTTTCCATACATGTTCTGCTGTGGCCCATGTACGTTATGATTCCACATGTTGAGTGTGATGAGGGTTCGGTTCTCTCTACTGTTCATAGTGAATTACTTTTTTTTGTTTAATTCCTTTCACCTCCAATTTTTTTATTTTTTTTTTTATCCTTAGCACTTCTACTTGTATGCCTTCTTTAATTTTAGACCATCATCTGTAAATCAGAGAGACGGTTGCATGCTCTAATTCCAATTTTAAAGTATCTAGGCCAATCTGGCACCAAAAGCATGTTACGTTTAAACTCATATCCCCTTCCTCCCCCTTACTTTTTAATTCAGTTGTTTTCACCACATATGGCTGACTAAATCATTTCAGTTCCTTATTTGTGATTGGCTGAGTCTCTTTTTGTGTTGGCAAGCTATGCATGTTCATCTATGGTCGTGGCTTTATCCTGTTGATTAAATAGGCTTCTAAAATATTGCACTTTATATTATTAACTAGAGGATATAAAAAAATAAATACAAAAAAACAGAATAGTTCAGATTATTAAAACACATGGTTATTCTACCAAAATACTGCTCATCGCATGAGATTTTACTCACAGTATCAATTGAATTATAAAGGCAGATATCAAATGCTGTAGCACTTTAGCAAAGCATATGTTTTTCCAGAAGTTGCTAAACCAGGCAAACAAGTCTCAGCAACTGAAGGAAGGTTTTATAGTTTTTTTGACAGCATGGCCTTTTATTATTATAAAAAAAAAAAAAAACAGATAAAAAAAAAATATGTTCAAAATAAATGTCAGACAGCTGAAATTAGCAGTTTATTTCTGTTACAGTTTCTGACAACACAGACTCCACTGAAGAATCCAAAGTGTTCAATACCTATAATCAAGCCAGATGCAAAGCTAATTATTTTACCTCCAGAAAAGTTGTACAAAGTAATGTTCGCTGTTGGAAGTATTTCTGCAGCTTATCAACAATTGACATTCATACAGTAAATTACCCCAGACTGTCATGATTTAATTAAAGATCTGACCCAAATGCAAAAGACCAAACTGAGAGACCAGGAAAAAGTTTAACAGGTTTATTTAGTATGATGCGATGAGTCAGCGCTTCTCTGAACACTGTCAAACCGGAACTGGAAAGTGATGGGAAGACACTGCGGTTAGTTCAGGCTCAGTGGGAAATTAGATTCTTTGACTTGAAAAGGTGGAATAGGTTGCAGACTCACGTTTCCAGAAAAAGGTGTCTTTTATTGAATCCAGTCTGTGAGGGATGTTCCAGTGATTGTCTTGTTTGATGGTGGGCGGACAGGGTTTACCCAGACTGCGGTTGTTCCTTGGTGAATGGAGAAGCTGACTGCCACTTAGATTTCCTGTGGTATTGAATGGATTATGTGGAGATGAATCCCCTGCTCAGAGAGAAGCCCCAGACATCCTTGGGGGAAAAGGTTGATCCTAACCACAAACTTGAATCCTCAGCTCAGTTTGGTTCTCAGAAGATCCTTCCAGAGGAGAGAAGGTCCAAAACCTCTAGTTTGCAGGATGACTTCCTGCCGAGAGGCAAAGACAAAAACAGCAAGATTATAACTCAGGTAAACAAAAAACTCAGTTTGACTCAGCAAACTCAGCTTGGCTAGAGTACCAAAAACTGGCAAAACAAAAACTCAGGTTAGACTCTGCTAAACTAAGCATGGCTAGAATACCCGAAACTGGCAAACACTCTGGCGACGAGGTAGTGGCAGTCAGCAGCTTAAGAGATCTCCACAGGTAATGAGACAACGAACTGCAGGTGTGCGGGGAGGCCCAATGAGGACGGGGCACCACCTGGTGGAGGAAGAAAGGAAACACAAAAACAGACCACACAAACTGGGTTCCTGACACAGACTTTCCTTTTAGAGTCACTTCTTCTTTACTTTTAACTGTCAAATTGAAAACAAATACAGCACTTTTGTGTATTTGTGTCTTTTATTGCATATAATACTTCAAAAAAATTTAATTATAATTTTAAATATTAATTTCCTTTTCTGTACTGTTTTGCATTTGGTAGAATAGCGCATGCACTTAAACTGAGTAGGTAGACTTTAAGTATAACTTAAAGTATTATACTAATTAAAAAACATTACATTAATTTGGTATGATTATATAACATTGACTACATGTTGTCTTCATACTGGAATGAAAATAAATTATCAGTACCCTTTTTGGAATCAAGATGTTGCCCTAGACACAAAAGTAAAAGTCACACTCACGTTACATTCATATTATAAACTTGCGAGAAGCAAAGACTGTGGAAAAAATGAACAATTGTAGGTATTTTATTAAACAACCTTTATTCTGCTGTCTCTAATATGCAACAATTTACTACTTTCAGAAAGTTGTTTTCTTGGTTTTCATTTGGAAAATCTTTCAATCTTCATTCATTTCCTCAAAAAACTCCCTTCCAGCTGACAACACTGCCACATAAATGAACGTCTCCGGTGTATCTTTCGATGGATGCAGACATAGAAATGTTCTGCATGACTGGAACTGACCTGTCAGTGTGTCTGATCTGGATTCACAGTACCTTCACAAGAGTGCCTGTGGTTTTCCTCTGCTTCTTTCTTTAACAGTCAAATAAAATTAAGCTAAAAAATGTACTACCCAACTCGCCTTAGATTATTTTTTTTGCCTGCCTTCACTTTTATCTTCAATTTTTTTCACCATGGTAAAGATTTGGGCATATTTTATAGTAGTAGTTGTTAATTTGTATTTAAATGCATGCAGGTGGTGCAGTGCTAAGTGGTAAGTGGTGCGCACAACCCATTTACAGAGGCCTTAGTCCTTGACGCGGCTGACCCGGGTTCAAATCTGGCCTGTGGTCCTTTGCCACATGTCTCTCCTCCTCTCTCATACACCCTTTCCTTTCCTGCTGTCACAAAAAACCAGCCACTAGTGCCGTTTAAAAGAAAAAAAAATCTAAAACCGTGGGAAAAAAATTATTTCGCTGCTGGATATATATTGTCTACTAAGAAGGGTTTAAGTGGATTGTAGGTTATGATTTGTTTTTAGAAAAACTAGACAAGGACATGACATACGGTATCCTCCAAAGAAATTTATTTTAGCCTGTATTTTTTTTGTTTGTTTAATATGTGCCTTAGTTTAATTTTAAGTTACCATAGTTGCCAACAAATATTTTCCCAGAAACAATAATTTTAAAGGCTGACCTGAACCAGGAGTAGAAGAAAGCATAAATAAATGGATTTAGAGTTGAATTGATCAGTGCAAACCAACTGGTTGATTCAATCACTGAAACCATTACAAAACTATTGGAAAAAGGTGCTAACGTGAAGGAAAGAAAAAAAGGAGCCCAGCAAAACAGAAAAGCCCCCAAGACAATTGCCAGAGTTTTGGTGGCTTTTCTCTCCATCTTACTGACAGTTGCTCCAGAGTTTTTCTTGGTTTGGATGCTCCGTGCCTGTCTCTGTGCAACAACAAATATCTTCAGGTAGATGCAAAGCATTATGACCACTGGAAGGTAAAAGGATGTCAAAGGTCCCACAATGTTTGTCATGATAATGTCAATAAAACATGCATCCAAGCATTCTTCTGTGTTCAATCTAGAAATAATAACACCAATTGCAGTAAGAACTGAAAGACCCCAGCTTATGACAATCATGATGATCACAACATGGAGGCTGATTTTGGATCTATATGTTAAAGGCTGACACACTGCATAATACCTATCAACCGAAATGCAACACATGTGCAGAATAGAGCATGTGCTGAGCAATACATCAAAGCTGTTTTTTATCTTACAAAACATGTTATTGTCATAAAAACATGAGGTAAAAGAGAATGACATTGTTAATGGAAAAGCAAGAACACCAACCAGCAGGTCAGCTACAGCCAGAGATTGAATGAGAGTGTTGGTGGGAGTGTGGAGCTGCTTGAAGTAAAATATTGAAATTATTACAAGGAGGTTTCCGCATACTGTGACAAGAGACAAAAGTGTTAGGAAAACTTGCACTATTACACACACAGCAGAAGGAGTTGTTAGTTTGTAACTAAACAGATTCATCTCAAAACAGGGATGAAGTAAGTAAATTAAAACATTAGTTCTGTTTTCCATTGGGACATAAAGATTTGATCTAAAATCCATCAAAATAAAAACAATCACCCATAAGAAATGCATTCACCATGTCCAAAAGATATTATATATATAAGTAACCACCCTTCCCTGACTATTCTCCTGAATTGCAGATTCACCCTTATACTCTGTCAGAGCATAAGTGTAAGTGGCTCACAGCCATGCAAGTCTCTGTGAAACCAGTCAGTGTGTCAGTGCTGGTTGCTCTGAGCTAAAACAATCTGTTAGAACAAGCCTTTATGGCTAAAGGGCTGGGCTCACAGGAGGAAATGTCACTCCCTCATTTCCTATGGAACCCGTGCAATGAAGTTACAGTGTTTTGCCTCCCTCTAGCCAAAGAAGTTGAATATTTGTGCTTGTGTGAGTTTAAGCTTATACAAGTAAACACTCACATGACACGTAGATGGCGACATAATGCAAGCAAAAAAAAAAAACTTCAACTGTTGTTGCTGTTGCACTGAACTAAAACCAGTCAGCAAGAGATTCATTGACTGATCTGTTGAAGATTAATTTTTTTTTAATTTCATTTTCTGTTTTAAATAACTGCTATATCTGTTCCGGGAGACTTTCAATGAGGCTCTACCTTTACCTTATATGGTAATGCTGCTGAGCTTTATGAAAAGGGTCTGATACTTACTGAGGGCTTTGGGGAAAGAATAAACTGAAAAGCATGTAGAAGTTTAGGATAATCAGAATCAGAAATACTTAAATAATCCCAGAGGGAAATTACTTTTGTTACACGCTCCAGTTACAGTTTTACATGATATATACACACATCC